GGGGGGGGGGGGGGGGGGTGGATTTGGCGAGTAGAGGGGCGCATTGAGGAACCTGCCCTTGGGGCAGCAGAGGGAGTAAATATGCCCCTGGGTGCTAGAAGTTTGGGGTTGGGTTGGTGTTAGGGAATAGCCCTTTCTGAACAGCGGGAACATTGTGCTTACTTTAAGTTCGGGAGGGGGGGTTTTAGGGACAAGGATGCCGGACTGTCATCCTGTCCGTCATGCCAGCCAGCTCACTGACGTCACCGGTTGCCAGGAGCTCAGCAAGCCAGAGCATCCCGCTTAACTCCTGGCAACTGGTGAGCAGGGTCGGAAGCCACATAGAGTGTCACAGGTTGCTATGAGCCCTTAGCAACATGGCACACTGCGGCCGACCCCCAATGAGAAGCCGCCTGAGGCAACCAACTGAGGATTTAGTCCTCTTTTTCCTTCCTGGGGGTCCTTGGTTTATTCAGAAAATAGCTTCCTTGCATGTTTATTAGGGAGACAGCAACCCAAAAGTTAAAGCGTATCTAAACCCAAAAACAAAAGATTTAATATGCTGGAGCTTACTAGCCCTCATATGTGCGGCTGCATTCGTTTTCCATGATTTTTACACATGGTGATCCCGCCAGTAACACACTGCCTGTTCTAAGGTGACAAAGCCGATTCACCCTACTGTATCTATGGATGGAGCCATGGTTGTCTGTACACACCAGGGCTAGACTCTGGAAGGAGTCAACTCATTTCAGGTTTTGGGGTCCCAGGACTCCTGCACAATACTTTACTGTGAGGCCACCCCTTTTGAAATATTATCTGCTGGTATTAAAAAAACGCTGCTTGCCGCTAAAGTTCACATTTACAATTCATGTTCAGATTCCCGAATTACACGGCTACTTCTTCAGGTAAACGCGAGTTAAAAATCCAGTTGAGTAGCAGCCGGAATGACAGGAGAGCGAGCGATATAAACAGTGACCTTTCCAACACCTTCAACATCTCTTTGAGGACCCTGCGGGCTGTTCATAAAAAGGTCTCAGATTTGTAAAATTTGCCATTTAGAGGGCTGAGGATTTCCCACAATGCCTCTGACCTCGAGCCCCTTCCCATCAGTCTTCATGACAATGCTGAAGTCTGTTTTCCTCAACAAGGTGTCAGAGAATTGCAGAGCAATCAATGTGCCGCTAATCAGGCGTTTGTCATTAAGACATTATTCTCATTCTGCTAAGTGATTCACATCTACCCATGCGGTTGAACCCTTCGGATTTTGGAGACCACTGATTGATTTTTTCTTATATAACTTTAAAACTAATGTGAACTATATGGGACCTTTATTATTGGATATACGAGGCGCGTTACTCACCTGCACAGCCACCACAGACAAGACTTCCACAGAGATCCGATTAAACTCATCAAAGCAGCCCCAGGCTCCGGTCTGCGACAGGCCCTTGTAGATGCTTCCGCAAGACTGGAAGATACAATGGAAGACAAAAAGGTATTGTATGATGAAAAGAACCTACGTAGACGATGACTCCCCACCATTACAGTCAGTCAGACACATTACCTTGTAGTCCATTTGTTCAGAGCAGTTGAAGACGTACACCATAATTCCAAGGGCTCGGCCCAAGTCCTTGGTGGTTTCAGTCTTTCCGGTGCCGGCTGGTCCAGCAGGGGCTCCACTCATGGTGAGGTGGAGGGACTGGGTCAGGGTGATGTAACACCTGGGGGCAAAAAGTTGTACGTTTCAAACACTAATGGATTTCCATAGCAGAGTCACAATGGTGTTCTCTGACGTGGAGCTCTAGCCCATCTTCTGACATCCATTGGGGCAATGGGGCTCCTGAACTGTGACAGCTGTGCTCAAAGGACAAGCTGGCAAATGACCAGTCAGAAGTATTGCTGGTGGTTTCCCTGCAGCTGATATTTTCCCCATTTTCCCCATTACTCTCCCATTCCCCATTACTACTGTGTTTCTGTGTGGGGGTTGCCATCTTGGAAGAAGAAGGGCTTTGCTTCCTCATGACAGAGCCTCCAGCAGAGAAAACATTGAGCAACACCAAATCTCACTCCAAATATACAGCTATGAGGCTGTAGACATAGGAATGCCTAGGGACCCTCAGATGCCAGGAAGTGCACGGCTATATTCCAAGAGGAATTCCAGAGAAAATGTATATCTTTCAGTGCACAAGTAACATTTATGCATCTTCTTTATAAGAAAAAAAATATTTATCTTCAGCATCTTCATATACCATAGCCCAATCTTTAGATACGCACTGATGTAATAACTCAATCTTCAGGTACACATTGATGTCATCGCCTATTCTTCAGATACGTATTGACGTCATAGCTTAATCTCCAGCTACGCACTGATGCCATAGCCTACTCTTCAGATACGCAATGACGTCATAGCCTCCTCTTCAGATACGCACTGACGTCATAGCCTATTCTTCAGATACGTGTTAACGTCACAGCCTACTATTCATATACACACTGACGTCATATCCTCCTCTTCAGATATGCAATGACGTCATAGCCTACTCTTCAGATACGTATTAACGTCAAAGCTCAATCTTCAGCTATGCACTAACGTCACAGCCTACTATTCATATACACACTGACGTCATATCCTCCTCTTCAGATATGCAATGACGTCATAGCCTACTCTTCAGATACGTATTAACGTCAAAGCTCAATCTTCAGCTATGCACTAACGTCACAGCCTACTATTCATATACACACTGACGTCATAGCCTACTCTTCAGATATGCAATGACATCATAGCCTACTCTTCAGATATGCAATGACGTCATAGCCTACTATTCATATACACACTGATGTCATAGCCTACTATTCATATACACACTGACGTCATAGCCTACTCTTCAGATATGCAATGACATCATAGCCTACTCTTCAGATATGCAATGACGTCATAGCCTATTCTTCAGATACGTGTTAACGTCACAGCCTACTATTCATATACACACTGACGTCATATCCTCCTCTTCAGATATGCAATGACGTCATAGCCTACTCTTCAGATACGTATTAACGTCAAAGCTCAATCTTCAGCTATGCACTAACGTCACAGCCTACTATTCATATACACACTGACGTCATAGCCTACTCTTCAGATATGCAATGACATCATAGCCTACTCTTCAGATATGCAATGACGTCATAGCCTACTATTCATATACACACTGATGTCATAGCCTACTATTCATATACACACTGACGTCATAGCCTACTCTTCAGATACGCAATGACATCATAGCCTACTCTTCAGATATGCAATGACGTCATAGCCCAATCTTCAGCTATGCACTGATGTCATAGCCTTTTCTTCAGATACGCACTGACGTCATAGCCTACTCTTCAGATATGCAATGACATCATAGCCTACTCTTCAGCTGTGCACTGATGTCATAGCCTTTTCTTCAGATACGCACTGATGTCATATCTCAATCTTCAGATACACATTGATCTCATGACCTCCTCTTCAGATATGTATTGATATCTTAGCTTAATCTTCAGATATACATTGACGTCATAGACCAATATTCAGATATGCAGTGACATCGTAGCCCAATCTTTAGGGCCTACCAACACAGATGTAGAATAAATGCTAAAACCCTATAAACACACGGAAGACACACCTGAGGGAGCTATTTAATAAAAACCATGAAGAGCAATGTATGGCAGCAAGGCCTAAAACCATTTTACCACCAACCTACCAAGACCTATTTCCACCCACCATGCCCATGGAAATGTGGAAACATGATGGCCCTTTAGGCTACATTTACACCTCAATTTGGTGCTAAAATGCATCCATAAAAATACACCCTCCATGGGGATGAAGGGTAAAATGTTTCTCAAGTGCTCTGCACAGTATTTGGTTCTCTTGTGGAAACCTCCCCCCGCCGTTTCACACCCCAAATAAAGGCGAGCAATAAAAATGGAGTGAACAAAACTGGAACGTTTAATTGTTGCTACTACACAACATGTAAAACGCCGTGCAAAACAAACACATTTACAACCTTTATATGGAACAAGTCCATCCTGCCAAACAACAGTCTTTGCCTGACGGGGGATATTTAAATGTGATTTTTTTTTTTATTATTGCATAAACTCTGCAGAGCAGCTGTTGGCGTTTTGGCCACTGGACCGTCATTCACGCACAGCTCAGCTGTCTATAAAAGGGACGCCGTGTTTGGCGGCGATGGCGCCGTGTCACCTACCTATCTGTTAGAGGCGTGATAACCAGCCGAGGAGTGTTGCCAAGATATTCGTAGGAGTAGCGGAACTGAGCGTCGCAGATGTTGGCGAAGCAATGCTTCTTGTCGTCGTCCCAGCGGTGTCGCAGCTGAGACAGCCACACAAAGGCTTGGACATTGTCCACCTGTGAAATGAGGACACACGTCAGGAAAAATCGAGCGGCTCGCGCCGTAAGGTCACACCTTTGCAGGACCTTGCGGTTACCCTTTCTGATAAGTGGGAACTCTTTCCTGATACAATTTTTGCAAAACCTTCCGCACTACTTATGCAGATACTTTATTTTAACATTTACCAATTCCTTCATTTGCCTGAAAAATAGGATTTTGTTCTTTTCTCTGATTCGTCCATTGAGGGACACAGCTCTGCAGAATTCCGAGACGCAGGCAGCAACATAACCCTAAGTCTCAGAATCCTTCAGAGCTGCATCCTTCAATGGACAATAGAGGAAAAAGTATTTTGTTCTTACCGTAAAATCCTTTTCTCTGAGTCCATTGAGGGACACAGCTCTGAAGGATTCTGAGACGTAGGGTTATGTTGCTGCCTGCGTCTCGGAATTCTGCAGAGCTGCGCCCCTCAATGGACGATAGAGGAAAAATGATTTTGTTCTTACTGTAAAATCCTTTTCTCTGAGTCCATTGAGGGACACAGCTCTGAAGGATTCTGAGACGTAGGCAGCAGCATAAACCTTACGTCTCAGAATTCCTCAGAGCTGCGTCCCTCAATGGACAATAGAGGAAGCTACAATTTAGCCATACGGTTTGCATCAGAAATGGCAATTCAAAGCTCAACTCCAGGCAAACAGATTCAGTACAGGTAAGGGAGCTTTTTTACCTGCTTGCTGTGCCTATGTCAAACACATAGGCACAGCAAGATAAGCTACTCCCCTCCTCCCTTCTCTTTTCTCCAAGCTGGATGGATGGATGTTGGAGTCTGCTCTGTCCCTTGTGAGGGATGCGCCGATACCGGTATTTTTTGTTTTTGGGTACTCGCTGATACTGAATACCGTTGCTGGAAGTCCCATTAAGGAAGCCAGGCGGCGTGTAATGACTCGCCACCCGGCTTTGCGATTAGCAGGTAAGCCGTCCACATGCTTCTCATCACTAGGTGACAATAAAGCATGGGGTCGGCTATCTAGATTGGCCGGGAAGCTGGCTCCATGCTCTCTTGTCATGAGGAGACGAGGGAGCATGAAGCTGGCTTAGCGGCCAATCAGGAGGCCGGGCGCTGTGTAATGACGCGGTGCCCCGGCTTCCTCATACCAAAAGTATCGTGCTAGGCATCCAAGCATTTGGGCGAGTACGAGTACTCACCCAAATACTCGGCATCGGCACCGATACTAATACTAATATCCCTATCCCTTGCGATCTTGTACTACACAGGAAGTTCAGAGAAGCTGAGCTGAGAGAGTTGGAGCTGTTCAGAAACATGATGACTGTAAGTGCTTGGGGATAAATGTAAAGAAATGTGTTGCTGGCCATGTGTATATGTGTGATCTGGATTCATTATTGAAAAAATACGACTTCAATGAAAACATTAGAAGTAGAATAGTTATGAAATCATCCAATGGGGTTCACCTTCTGCTGGATCATCTTGGAGACGACATCTCGGGCGTGCACATCGATGGTACAGATGGTCATGATCTTCTGCCGGTCTCCCTTGGAGAGCTGCCCAATCAGCATGGTGATGAGTGTGTTCAGCTGGCCGACCTGCTTCTTGAAGTACTCCTTCATGGCGTTCTCATAGCCTTCTTCTAGCCGGGTGAAGGAGATGCCGACCTCGGTGGTCCACCAGATCTGAGTGCAGGTGAGGGCGACCTGGAGGAGGGACGGGGCAAGGGAGTCCACAGGTCAGACTATGGTTCAATTTGTACCTGAATAGCTTCCAGTCCTATAACTGTTGTGGGGCCTGAAGTACAGCAGGATGAGTCTTGTACACGGGGGTCACTGTGCTTATTTTATGCAATGCAGAGAGATCATGGTTAGTGGGAGGGGCAGGTAACACCCACATATGGTACTGAGCCTTCATGACTGAAAGAACTAAAATCCAATGAATAAAAGGGGGCGTCTAGGGACAGTCAGGCTGGGGAGGAATGGGCCAGATCAGGGGGTGCCCATTAGGTCAATCACAATCTACCCGTCATTCACAAAGCTAATGCTGGTAGAGCTCGCTGACCCGACCTCCCTCCTGCAGTGCTAGTGCGGCTGAATGTGTCGGACGCTGCAGATGGGAGGGGTGTCCTGCTCCTCCCCGCCTGCAGCGTCCGACACATTCGGCCCGCCCCTCCTCGGCTTCAGCATCCACCACATTGGCCTGACCCTCCCCACCTGCAGCATCTACCACATTGGCCCGCCCCAAACTACCTGCAGCATCGCACACATTCAGCCGCACTAGCACTGCAGGAGGACAGGACAGCACACGTGATGAGCAGGGAAGCAGATAAGAAGCTGCTGAAGATTTGCGTTGCCTCTGAAAGGAGAGACAGCCAAAGGAGAGAGAAAGGAGAGATAGCCAGGAGAGAACGAGCAGAGACAGCCAGGGGAAAGATTGAGGAGAGAGAGTGGACAGACAGCCAGGAGAGAGAGCAGAGAGACAGCCAGGAGAGAGAGCAGGGAGACAGCCAGGAGAGAGAGAGCAGAGAGACAGCCAGGGGAAAGAGAGCCAGGAGAGAGAGAGGACAGCCAGGGGAGAGAGAGGAGAGAGAACCATGAGAGAGAGGAGAGACAGCCAGGGGAGAGAGAGTGAGGAGAGAGAGTGAGGAGAGACAGCCAGGAGAGAAAGAGGAGAGACAGCCAGGAGAGAAAGAGGAGAGATAGTGAGGAGAGAAAGAGGAGAGACAGCCAGGAGAGAAAGCCAGGAGAGATAGTGAGGAGAGAAAGCCAAGAGAGAGCTAGCGGAAAGGCACCCAGGGAAAAGAGGAGAGACAACCAGGGGAGAAAGAGGAGAGACAGCCAGGGGAGATAGCGAGGAGAGACAGCCAGGGGAGAAAGCGAGAAGAGACAGCCAGGGGAGAGAGAGCAAGGGAGGTGTTGTTTTTGTTGGCAGATCTCATTGAGCTCGTCATTTGAAAAGTAGATCTTAACATAAAACATTGTGACCTCCCCCGGGATAGATGATTAGGGAACATACGACGATGTGATCCTTCGAGGATGTAGCTGAACTATGTGTGACGACCGTCATGCTGCAGAACATTGAAAGGTTATAACCAGGCGCATCCCCATTAGTGCCGCCTCGCTGGCGCCCTCACCTGGGCGGGGTAGTCAAACAACCACTGTTCTCTCGGCTTCTCTTCATACGCCGTGACGGCCTCCGTCATCTCGTGCCGTACGGTGTCTCTCATACTGTCCAGGACGCGGTTCAGCCAGATTTCCACCTGAGGAAGGACATTCAATGTTAAAAAGTAGCATCGTACAGGTTTTGGCTGAGCTGAACCAATATTAAATATAAAAATTAAGGCTGACCTCCAGGCAGATACAATTTCAACCCAAGTTCATTAAAAAGAAAATGGCGGCCTCCAATATTTCTCCATTGGAAGGATTCCTCTAAGTCAAGAATCACTTGAAATAAGAACTTCCACGCTGAATTCCCCTCCAGAGAACCACGGCCCACCCCTGTCCCTGCTCCATGCACCAACCTGGCCGCTGCAGTCACAGGGCCCGTTGAACGTGACGTATTCGTCCTCCTTGCTGTACATGCCCAGCGCGCTCTTCGATTCGCCGTCCTTGAACTGCATCTTGGCCATGTTGTCGAACAATTTGGAGAGATGACGCATGACCTGTGAGGAAGCAGATCCGTTATGGGAAGAGGAATGCAGAGGGTGTGTGTGCTGCAGGTGTCTGAGCAAGTGGAGGCCTATGGGCGAAGTCTCAGAGTACCGGAAGAATTCAGGCCTCGGAAAGTACATTTAGTTCACAGGCGTTTCTGGTGTACCTGCTGCCGGCAACAGGCAATGGGAGGGCCTTGGGTCCGTTATAATCATCGGGTGGACTTTCTGTGTTGTAATGAGGAAAGGAGCAGTGTCGGCATCCCTTTAGTAGTAATCAACCATCAAACTCACCTATTGGCGTCACGCTTCCCTTTAACTCTGTGTGTCCATCAGATCCATGGATCTAAACCAGGGGTAGGCAAACTCCGGCCCTCCGGGTGTGGTGCAACTACAAATCCCATAAGACACTGCAAGACTCTAACAGCCGCATGCCTTCTAAGGCGAGATGCATGAAGGGATCTGTAGTTCCACCACATCTGGCGAGCCGGCGTTGGCCTACCCCTGGTCTCAACCCCGTATAAGCTTCCTGTTGGCCATTGTCAGAGCTTACACAGAGATGGAAACCCAACCACTGAAATCTCATAGAACCTTTTTTCATGTTAATGTTATTCCACCAGCTCTAGCTTCATTTACATAATCCCTGGTGATCCTGCCATGAAGGTCCTTGTTCGGGCACTTCCTGTTATGTCATGTCTACCAACTGTGCTCCTGCGTTGTCACCCTATCACATGAGCTTCCAATGGAGACTACAAGTGGCTGTTTCAGCTCACATTGTCACCATCAGGAAAACCACCGTGAGAAATGCCACGCAGCCATCGCTGGTGTGCACGCAGACAGTCGCCTAGAGTTCTACCAAGCGTTATGTAGCACAAGGGCCTGCCCTACAAATTGGTTGGATTGATTAGGTAGGTCCTCATATTACATCTAAAGAGGATTGTACGGTCAGATTGAAGGTGTATGGTGACCCTTAGGCCTCAGCGCTGCACCCTGGGAGGAGGGGAGAAGGTGACACGCTTACCCATACCCTGAAGTATGGGGCAATTCCTAGAACTCTTCCAGAGAACCGTGGCAGATGTAGAGCATGGCCAATGAAGGTATCAGTAGGTTTCGGGGGGTAGACTTCAAGAGAACCTGTCGCTATTCAATGAACGGGCAAAATGACAGATTGTCTTTAAAAACACAGGTACTCACAATTTGAGGGTTGGTGCCATTGGAAAGGATGTCCAAAAGGTCAGCTGATGATATGAAGTAGAACCTCGGGAAAGCCAGACGTTTGGTATCCAGATATTCGGCCAAGGCCTTCTCACACAAGGACAACCTGGGGGTCAACGACAAAACCAACATAAGAATCAGAAACATCTTATTTTCGGAACACACGCACCCTCAACGCCAGGCTTGGTGTTCACACCGTTCAACGATGGGGCCCCAGAAGCCGCTCCTACCCCTACCTGGCCTGGATGTCCTCCAGCTTCTCATACAACCATTTTGGATCCCCTACCTGGCATGGATGTCCTCCAGCTTCTCATACAACCATTTTGGATCCCCTACCTGGCCTGGATGTCCTCCAGCTTCTCATATAGCCCCGGCTTGTTGGTTGCTTCCACCACATTTGGCGTCTTATTGGCATCGTCAGCCAACTCTTTGAAATCCATATCGATGCCTTCAAACCTCTTTGAATCCTGGAAGACATTTAAAGTATTTACATCTTGGAATGTGAACACAATTTAAAAATTGTTCTCCATCTTCCTAAGCCTGCAGCTTTCCTAATAATAATCCCCATGGATCCTGCCACCAAGGTCCTTATTAGGACAATTCCTGTTATGGGGTGACAACACTGTGTCCTGATCTCTCATTTGTGCTCCTGTGTTGTCACCCTGTCACAGGCATCCCTGATAAGGGACTACAGGTGGCTGTGCTGACACACATTGCGCAGGCATGGTCCCCTGTTGTCACTATCAGGAAACCAGGCCAGAGCAAGAATATGCAACCAACACTGCAGCCAGTGCATGTCGACATGAAGGGGCTGAAAGATTCTGCAGGAGATCAGCAGGACTGAGATGAGAAAATGGATTAAAAAAAAAAAAAAGAAAAAAGCAGTATTTCGCGTTGGGTTTTTTTTAAAAGGGAAGTGTTTATAATACAAAGAGCAGGGTGGGAACTTATTAAAAACCAAAAT